CTTTGAAGGTTGTTCCACTTACCACTCAGAGCACAGCTGGGAAATCTTGATTTTAGTCATCTTGACAGAGAAGTGCTCGTCCTTTATCTATTTTGCTGCAAGATCACCCACTCTGGTGGAAAATGGGCCCAACTTGTTCTGCCTGGAGGAAATAAAGAGTGCTTACACCACACCTACTGCAGGCAGAACCACAATGGGTACATCTGACATGCAAAGGGAAGGGGTCCATTGTCCAAAAGGAAGGATGGCAGCTTCTTACATCTCTTAAGGAACAGTAATGCTTTTGAAGGGATTTAACTGACTAACTTCCTTATGCTGGCAAAAAGTTGCCCCAGTTTTAGTGCTGAACAAATCTTTACTCCTTCTATGATGAAGCTGTGCTTCAAAACTGAGCTCACATTTAAGCGCTGATTCGGACTAACAAATATAGTCATGCTTACCTATTTGTTTTCTTGGGGTCATTCCACAAGATGTACAACAATAAATTGGATTGTGGAAAGGTTTTACGTTTCTTTTTTTAGTCTCTGAAAAAGAACATACTGAAAAACTTTGCCTCAACTACAAGATTTACTACAAAGATTCAAGGAAATATGATCATAGAATCACAGAATGGTTTGGGTTGGAAGGGATCTTTAAGATCAAGTTCCAACTCCCTGCTGTAGGCAGGGACATCTCTCTAGACCAGGTTGCTCAAAGCCCCATCCAGCCTGGTCTTGAATGCTTTCAGGGAGGGGGCATTCACAACCTCACTGGGCAACCTGTTCCACTGTTCCACCCTCATAGAGTAAAGAATTTCTTCCTAATATTTAGTCTAAATCTACCCTCTTCCAGTTTAGAACCTTTCCCCTTGTCCTGTCATTACATGCCCTATAAAAAGTCCCTCCCCAACTTTCCTGAATGCCCCGTTCAAGTACTGGAAGGATGCTATCAGGTCTCCTCAGATACTTCTCTTCTCCAGGCTGAAGAGCCTCTGCTGTTTCAGTCTGTTCTTGTAGGGGAGGTGCTCCAGCCTTCTGATCAACTTTGTGGCCCTCCTCTGGACCCACTCCAACAGCTCCATGTCTTGTGTTGGCGGCTCCAGAACTGGATACTGGATACTATATGATACTATATGAAAAACAGTTTTGTAGTATTTGAGCAAAATGTGAACATACACTAAGCTCATTGCCTGCTACTCTTTATCTTCAAGAATATCTAAATTGATATTTGAACAGATTGTTGTCCCCAAAAGGAGACAGAAAATATGACTGATTAGGGCAGGCTTAGTAGCAATATAAACTGAAGGATCCTTGTGTCTTTAAAATTAGTTTATATTAAGTATTTCAAAAGTCCCATTCAGATTTGCATTTTATTTTTTTTCATGTTGATGTGTAGGCAATACAAAGAGACTGACCATGAGGAGACTTTTAGTTCAGAAACTATAATATTCTCTCAAGTTAATACTAAAAATTGAGAGAATATGTTGAGATACTGTATATGGAAAAATTAGCACATCACAAACAGTTTAATCTGATCTGCCAGGAATAGTATCTGTTTATAACTTACTTTAGAAACTCTGGCTAAGATTGAGCGTAGAACATTTTTTTGTTATTTGATATATCTTTTAAATGCTGTGAGACACAAAACTAACTACCCAAGGGGCTAACAATTATAACTTGCTCTCCCTGAAACTCAGCAGTGTTTTATTGATCTGGTTCTGTCTTTGACTGAATGTAAAAATGATGACAGTCAGCAGAAGTAGCCATGTTTTGACAGGCCAACTCAGATCACCCAGATTCAAAGACCTAACATCAAAAAACATGCCCTGAAAAATAAAGAGGCTGTGCCATGGAAGGATGCAATTAATTTCTGTTGCTATTGTGGTTATAGAAATAGCACTTGTGGAGAACAGTGATGCTCCCTGAGTGAGGAAGACTCAGAGCCCCAAACCTCAACAGCCCTTTGCAGTCCTGCCACTCCTCAATTTAATGGCTTTTGCAGCATGCCTCAGACCACAAAACTAAGACATACAGTTTTGCTTTGGCCCACACAGACGTTTTCGTTCTTGCCCTTGCTAGTAACCTAAATTTAACAGCAGTAGGAAAAAAAGTAAACTCCTGTAATGGTAAGATACCCCAACTTTTACAGGTTATCCTCAGGGACATTTGTCAGTGACATCTGAGGTATCCACAATTAGCACTGAAATACATTTGTCTAAATAAATCAACAATTTGGTGTTGCCTAACATTGTTTTTTATTTTGCAAGTTTGTTTCCTCAGTGGGAGATTAATTTAGAACTTCTGAATCAGAAGAAGCCTTTCCCTTGACCCAAACTTAATAACTCTCCCTATTCATAAATGCAGAGCCCAAAAAGGACCATTAGGTCTTCCTATCTGGCCCCCGAAGCAGCACAGGCCCTGGCATCATGCACAGCTACTGCAATGAATCCAGAAAAATGTGTTGAGGATAATGTGCATCTTCCAGAAGAAGACCAGGTTTGTGGGTGAAAGAAATGTCTCCATTTGGGACAACTCTTTTTTTAGAACAGAGGCAAAAAAAAATTGTTAAACCTCTGTTAGATGTAAACAGAAAATACATCACTTTTTTAGTCTTCCTTTTTTTGAGTTTTTAACAGCACAGATGATTAAATCATTGATAGCATTAGCTGAAGTTCAGACCATAATTTCCTTGAATGCAGTTTTTTTTGTCTGTATGTTGTAGTATAGCTTGATGTTTCCAGCATATTCTCTCTCCACTGTTAACTGGTAACTTGTCAGTGGTCTGAGTATTGCATACTTACTATTTTCAAAGGTTTCTTTTAATCCAAGCCCCTTGCTGACATATCCAAACCGTGAGTGCCTCAGTCTCAGAGGCTGTTTCTCTTGGACAGCACTGATTTTGTCTCACGGGGTAAATCTCTCTACACTGTCCAATGAAAAAATGTGGGAACACATTTTATCTTTACTGTCCAGTTATCACATGAGAAATCTTTTTTTTCAAGTTCAAAGAATTCTTAAGGGGAAGTAGGAAACATAATTCAGAGAGATAGGGAGAAGCAGCATTATTAATTCACTGGGTGTCTTAGGAATTCTTGCCTATCATCTTAGATTAGTCTGGATGTGATGTAAACATACATATACAGAAAATATATTTTGACATAAGCATCAGTTGGAGGAAAATGTTAACTCTCACCTGACTTTGCACGCAATCCAGAGAGGCAATGTAGAGAAATGGGAATTTATCTTTATGTGTTTCACTGCCTTCCGTTACAGACAGAAAGAGTTTTCCCCACCACTTTGTGTCACATCCTGCCTATTGGTCCTTTACACCTTGCTATGAAGGACACTGAAGGACAAAATGTCTGGGAGGGCACAACCCTTACCAATCCACTCTTGGGGACCTGTCACCACCCAAGGGCTCTGGCAGGGTTTCTGGTGCATGGGGCAGTCCAGCAGAGGTCATCTACCTCCTGTCCACGGATCTGGATGTCAGGAGGACGCCAGGTCCTTGATACTTTCAGCCCCAACCCTACAATCACAAACTCCAGCATTGTTGCCCATTGACACTGGTGACCACAGCTCCTGGGGCCAGGCAGCACCCAGCTCCCCATGAATCCCTAGTGTAACTTGTTATGCAACTGCAGGCATCTGCAGACGGGGCTGACACACAGTTGTAGGACACTGTGCCATGGCTACATGGCTACAAAACTCCGTTGCTAATGGCAGTGGAGCACAAAACCAGAGTCTAGAGGGATGTGATTTATTGTTTGACAGTGCCTTCCAAACCCTCACCAATGTTTTGAAAATATCGTGCTCCGTGGAGAGTATCATTTATCAAAAATAATGAAAGCTTTATTCCTTTCATCATATAATATCTCATGTTTTTCTCCAGACAAAGTTCCTTTCTGGTCTTACACAAACTACTTTTCCAGCTTGCATCAGCAAGCATTTGCTAATAATAATCACTGAAAAGCCAGAAAACTGATTTCACAGAATGTCCTTAATCTTAGTTTGTGAAGGGAGAAAAGATATGCAGAATTAGCAGTGTTTCTTCTGTCAGCAAGAGTGGACACTCTTGCTGCTTTCCAGATGGAAAAGCAAAACCATAATGCCTTGCCTGAATTTTATGCAAAGGGGAAGCCTTTTGTGAAATGCATTCAAGATGGTGGTGAAGCATGCTGAGGCCTATGCCTCTAAACTGACCCAGGGCCTTACAGTAAGATGTGGCTTTATGGTGAAGGCCTATTCTGTGTATGAGATATTAGCCAAATCTAAATCCTTTACCACATGATGCCTTGAGTGTCCCAGAACGGTTGAGATGGATGGAGCCACACGGCTTGCTTGTAAGAGCAAAATATCATAGTGCAGCACGTACCTGTGATGCAAAGCTCAGGAGTGGGATCATTTTTGGAGAAGCTAGAAGTATGACATAGGGAAGGTTCCAGGCAAGTTTGGTGGCAGAGGAGGCTGCAGATGGGTGCACTGGGGCTGCCCAGGAAGGGTGTTTGGGATGTCTGCCATCTGCTATACCTCCTCTAGGCCCCTATTTACCCCCTTGGCTCAGAGTGTGCCCACCCCAGGTCCTGCCCTGACCCTGGCTCACTGCAGATGTGTTGGAAGAGAGCACAAGGAAACCTGACAGCAACAACTGTGGAGTGACCTGCCACTGGGGGAAGCTTCCTCCAAATACCATTACTTGGATGTTGGCTTCAGCTCTGTAGCACTATGCTTTGTATTCTCTCTGAGTGCTCTCTGTTTGCTTTCCATGTCCCCATCACACTAACTCTGAATCTTCTGGCTATCCACAGAGAGTACAAAGGTATTATTTTCCTATTTAAAACAGAGATGTTCTTGAAAGACTAAGAAAATTAAAAATATATATATTAAATTATTACTCAAAGAGTCTGTGGAAAAGGAAGAGGGACAAGAAGGACAAATAATCCAGAAAAATGAATGGAGAATAGAAAGAAAAAAACAAAAGATATGAGCAGAAAATCAGAGACGGAATAAATCATTATTGCCATTTTTTTATTTTGTAGAAAATTTGCTTTTGTACAGCATTTGACTTAATTGTATTGCAAGCAGGCTGCCTCACAGAAATTCATAGGCCTGCAAATGTAGACCAGAGACAAACTGTGTATGTTCATTCTGACTCTTCTTGGAAGCTACAGATGTTCGTTGTTTGGACACACAACGGACAGATTAATATCTCCAGATGTTCACCAGACATCCTCCAAGAACACTAATGGGCAGGACAGGAATAAACACTTTTAGCAAAAACTTCAGTTTCTGTTAGTGCTTCAGATGAAGCATTTTGTTGGTGTGTATTTCATGGATAGCACCTGTTCTGCATATAAGTCTACACTACATAGCCATGTCCTTCCATGCCATCATCCAAGTCTTAAAGAAGCTATAAGCTGACAGTACAAGTGCTGATGAACTAGCTTCCAAAGAGAATGAGAATCCAGCATTGCTGTTGACTGTGTAACCTGGAAGAAGTAAGCAGATATTTAAAATCACAGGAGTATTTAAGTGGTTGAGTGTCTTACTGAGTCAGCACAAAAATAGTACCTTTCCTGAGCCAGAGACATTAAGGCATCTTCTGTGAACACGCATTTGTCCATAATTATACTTGGTTTTCACAGGGGAAAGAAGCATCCATCCATTTAGCATTACCAAATGTGACACAATTAGTTGTTTTACCTCTCCTTACTCTTCTAGAAAATCTTGTGGTGACACTTTGGCAAAGGTTCTAGATAAGAAATGCCCTCTGTGATTTGAAGAGAAAAGGTGCTCACCACCAACTTTCAATGTCGTTTTGTATAAAGACACGAGTGTGACGTTGCTAAAAGGTAGTACTTCAGCTGTATCACCTAAAAACTACTCACATGGCTTTGAAAATATTATTACTTGTAATATTACTGTCATGATCCCCTCTCATTCCCATTCATGAAGTCACACTGGGGAAAAACGAACAAACAAAGCAAACAGACTTAATCCTACAAAAAGTAATGTAAGTGAAGGAAAAAGATTTCTTATCTTCAGTATGTTAATCTCCAAGACTAATAAAAACAACAATGGGATTTGGTCTTCAACCAATACAAGGAGAATGTTGAAAAGCTGTGTGCTTTTTTCAGCTTTAGCACCACAGATGCTCAAGGGGAGGCTGGGAACACTTCAATCTCTCAGCATGGGTTGCAGATACATTACAAACACATACTGTCCCGCAGTGCTGTATCCCACTGCAGGACAAGAACAGCACCCTGCAAGAGGCTGTACTATTTTGTGGGTCTGCTGAAATGTTGTTTTTAATCCTGGTGCTGTTTAGAGCTGCAGAAGCTCTCTTCTGGCATGGCCAGGTCACTTCACCTACTGGGACTGCTTTCAAAATATCTTTGCTATAAAGCAACGGAAAGAAAGGATCTAAAAACTGACTGGAAAATCCTGCTTCTTCTCCTGTTAAATCATTGAGGAATTTTGCTGATCCTTTCAAGAGAACAAGGGATTCACCCTTAAAAAGCTGATATCCAAATATCTCACACAAAATAAGTGCAAGCTGTTGATATGTAGCTGTTTGGAACTTCTGCTAGTGGGTAAGCAACCCACTTCTACAGGATAAAAACACACTTTGTGACAGACAGTGGAAAAAGATGAGAAAGAGGCCTTTGATAGAAAAACTATGATTAAAAAAATTAGCATGCCATTAGGAGAAGTATAAATACACATTATATTACATAAGTGAACTGTGTTTTCTTTAGTGTACGTGCCACTTTTATTAATTCATACACTAAGTGCTAACGTGTTTCCTAATGCCATTAGGTAGTGCTTTCAGAAAGTAATGGAATAAATAGTCCTTGCCCAGTTCTCTTCTGCATTCTCATTTTCTTCAGTAGAATGAAATTTATTTTTGAACCTCCCCCTGGCACCACACATGGCTGTGCATCACGTTTCGGAGGCACTCTGACTCCCCTCAGGTGTGATGAACTGCACTTTGGGCACCATGAGGGAGGGGTTGGTTCTCCGCATGGAGTTGCTCCTCCGAATGGAGTTGTTTCTCCTCATAGAGTTGCGTTTCCGCAGGGAGTTCTGGTGGGACAGCTCACTCTTCTGCAGGGTCTGGATGAGAATTGAGGGCTTTTCGTCAAGCTCTCGTGCACTGCAACGCGGTGCTGCCACTTTGACTGTGTTGCCAAATTTGGAGTAGTCAACAGCGTAAACACCTTCCTCCTCAGTGACAATGGGCACAAAGCGGTGACCCCACAGGATCTCCTCTGCTATGTAGGAGGTTCTCGCCTGCGTTGTGATGCCAGTTGTCTCCACGACTCCTTCAAGTATCACTATAAGCTCCAGATCCTGGAGTGCCAGGTCAGAAGCGGAGATATCGTAAAGAGGACTGCGCTTGTCTATGACGTGACAAATGATTAAGGGAGCCACCAGGAAAATATTGTTACTTTCAATGGGGTTATCCACGGGGATATCTACTTGGTGAATGGGTATGACTTCTCCCTCAGGGGTTGTAGTCTTCCTCACAACCTGGATTCTCACGGAGGCGCTAATGATCATGCTCTTCCTCAGGTCTCCCACTCGAAACATGAAGCAAAGTTTGCCATTTCGAACGGCAATGACCGCCTGTCGACTGAAAATCAAGGTCTCTGCCCGCCTGTGAGCTTGAGCGGTTTTCATGAAGATGCAGCCCAACATGACAGCATTGATTATTAGACCCACAATATTCTGTAGGATCAAGACTGTGATGGCCAAGGGACATTCCTCCGTCATCATCCTGCCCCCAAAACCAATGGTCACCTGAACTTCAATGGAGAAGAGGAAAGCAGAGGTGAAAGACCTGGAGAGGAAGATTGTACAAAGTTAACTGAAAGCTCATCAAACATAAACTGATAAGCTATTAGCATATGCTTAGTAGAAACAAACTTAAGTGCCTATTTTTGCAGCTCTTGTAAATGTAAGCCTTCTGTTAACATTGCATGTTTGGTGATTCAGTGTTTGTATGATCAGTGATGCATATAATGTTGAGAGGGAAGACATAAGAGCCTGAGCTCCTAGAAGACCATTTGTAATTCTAGATGACCCTAAGAAACTCACTAGATTCTCCGTCCAGAAAAACGTTGCACACCATGTTAGCTGACAGTGCTTTTAACTCCCATCATGACATTCCACATTCTACATCCAATGAAGCTCTTGGCAGGGAGTGGTGGTTTTGGAGACAAACCAGTGAGCAACTGGCTGGCATGCTGAGGTTCTCCAACCAGCCTGCACATGGAAAGGAAACTGGGAAAGCTGCAGGACTTCCTTTTCAAAACCTGACTCTCTTTGTCATGAGCCCCTTTAGCAAGTTTTCCTGGAGGGAAAGGGGACACTCCCAGCTTTATCACACCACAGACTCTTGCATGCCTTGCATCTGAGCCCACAGAATCAGGCTGCAGAGGGAGGGCACATCCCAGCTGAAAGACAATGCTGTGCCCAGGGTTTGGGTTAAGCTCACTGCCGTGGCAAGGCTAGCTGGAAAACTTCAACACAACAGTGGGTTTAGAAGTGTATCCCTAATATACTATACTGTTGGACATCAGAGGATGCTGTCTGAAAACTTTCCAGAACACATTATTTATAATAGTGCACAATATCACTTCTTGAATATACACCATGCTATTTCACTTCCTGGTATAAACTCATACTTCCTTCACAGAAGTCTCTTATACTCCAAACCTGTACCCTGGGATTTACACAGTAGATATTTTGCACATGGGGTCTCATGAAGTAACATAGTGACCCTTTTGGAACAGTACAGTCCACAAACATTTGAAGCATCCCCAAGTGTGTGGCTTTACCTATGGAAAATATATATCCTGACCATGAAGATGGTTCTAAGGCCTGGGATCAAGAAGAGACATTGAAATAGAACAGTCAATATCAGGGATAATGTTCTGTAGAATGAGAATGGTCATCTTTCAGAAAACCAGACAGTCTCTGTACAGACATCTTTGAAATAACTTAGTCTCTTTTTTCCTTTTCTGTTTTGTTAATCTTTGGCAGATTCCCTCACACTGAGGAGTTTGTTCTTGTCTTTTATACTGAAGAAATCAGGGATGAAGGAGTTAATTCATTCATGGAATGATTTCTATGTTAATGAGTAGTCATCTACATGCAGAATAAAGCTTACAGCTAAATCTTAATTTAATTTAATCCAACTTAAATCTCTGTGCAATGAAATATTCTGACTCCCTTTGATACTAATCATTTAAAAAAAATGGAAAAAAAAACCCACCTTTTTAGAGTGCCAGTATCAGAAGCAACAAGTTTGTACAGGATGGTGAACAAGTGAAGAGGGAGCCATGAATGTCAAGCCACACTATTGCCAGGTCCCTCGCTTTAGAGCTCTGCAACAGTTTTTCTCTTTGGATAACATTTGCATTGTGTGGCAAAAGTGCTACTAGCCTTAGATATTCTGCAGTACTTTGAAAAATGGAAGTGCTGTAGAGTTCCCTGCAGTAGTGGTTAAAATTTCCTAAAGCCAGATTTCCCTATAAATATGTAATGGCACCCATCCAAAAAAGCTCTCCTGAAATATCTGCGAGCCTAAATCTCAGGAAAGTGAATTTAAAAAAATATTTGCCATTATTTTGACAGATATTATATTAATATTATATGTTAATTCATGTATACACAATATTAAGTACGCTTTAAATCCAGCAACTCGCTACTCTTAAAAATATCAGCGATCATATTGTTGTTTCAGATTGTATTATTTGATATTGTGTCCAAGGTGGTGGCCAGGTTTAAAAAGATGTAGGGAAGAGATTTTCCGTGGATACGTAGGCAGCTGTAGGCTGAAACACCTCAGGTACTCACAGGAGAGCGTGACAGGTGTTGTTTGCCAAGGGCTAAAGCTCAAAGGCACACCGGTTCATTGGCTCTGCCTCATTGCCAGCCCTCAGACAGCTTCTGTGGCAGGGAGGACACTGCTGGCACAGTTGCATGTGGGGCTACAGGGAGATAGCAGGGGCTATGGCTCTGCTTTGTCCCGGAGGCATGATGACCTCAGCAGTCAGACCAGGCTCTGTGGAGTGGCCCAGGAGCACAATGGGGATACATGTTGTGGGGGCCTCCACCAAATAGAGTGACATCCTCCCAGAGGACCCCAGAAAGTTGGTGGGGTTGGACAAATCTCACACACGCTTCCCTCTGGGAGCAATACACCAGAAAGGCAGGGGGTGACACCCTGGAGGACATCGCCAGTGGGTGCCAGCTGGATCATGATGTCTCATGTCAGAGGCAACTGTTTATGACCCCTTAATGGAAAGGAAATAAGACAGCCATCTCCCGCTGCTCCAGATCCTCAACTTGATGAAGGTCAGCCTGGAAAATCTCCGCTTTATCTTCCCCTTGGAAATTTCCCATTTAGCACAATAGTGTCAAAAAAAAGGGAGAATGAAATCTCCATTGCCTCATGAGTCAGATCTGAGGTGCCCTCAAGCTTGCTGAGGTGCCTCAAAAACTACGTGAAACAGAAAGTTAAAAGAGAAGCAGAAACTCTCAGCCCCTCACACAGTCACTGCAGTGTGTCAAGGCAGCTGCTATAGGGCAGCCTGGCCACCCTGAACCCAGATTGTCCTGCTTAAAAGCACCTGCTGCTATAAAAAGACCTGTTACTGATGAGATGACAGAGTGATCTTATTGCCTACTCTCACTTCCCATTAACAAATGCTCCCCCTGTCCTGTGTAGATATGTGTCAGTTTGCCAGAGCCTTGAAAATTGTCATCTGGGGACAGAGAGGAAAATACTTCTCTTAACAGCTGACATTTAACCCAGAATTCCCTTAAACTTTCACTATCCGATAAATCATGCACACCATGGAAGCAGTTCGTCCTTCAAACTGCTGGCCTCATCAAAGGCCAGGCATTTTGGAGCTGTCTCATAAGTGTCATCCTGAAACACATCTCGTTTTACCCTACGCAGCACATTTCTTGCCAGCTGACACCTATGGTGGGTGCCTGCCTCACAGGCATTGCTTTTGGAGCAGGCCACCTTCCACCAGCACGGCTCACAGCTCACACCACGCTTGGGATGCTCCTGCTGCCACAGACAACATTACGATACGTGTAACACATACCCACTCTTGTAGCAGGCTCTTATCTTGACAGGCAAGGTATGTCACCCACAGAGTGTGGAGACACATGAAAAGCAGCAGGTCTCCCTCTCTTTCAGATCCTGTAAGGAATCAAAGAAATCTACAGTACAGCATTTTCCAAGCCCAGAAGGCTTGCTGAATTTACGTAATCTAGAGGAAAACACCGCACTTTTCAATTGTCTCAACCAAACAATAATGGTTCATGTAAACCAAAAACTGCATTTCAGTCATCGATGGGACAGCAGGCAGCCACGTCCCAACCTTTTGCTGTCCCCCCGACTGCGCTGTACCTGACACATGTCACGCAGGGAGTCCACTTGGTGTTGTTTGCAGTGTTCTCCGTGCTCGGGTCCATGTCACCGTGGGCAAAAGCCACCAGCCACCACATCATGGCGAAGAGCAGCCAGCTGCACAGGAAGGACATGGTGAAGATGACCAGTGTGTGACGCCATTTCAGGTCCACCAAGGTGGTGAAGATGTCTTGCAGGAATCGCCCCTGCTCGCGGATGTTCTTGTGGGCCAGGTTGCATGCTCCATTCTTGGCGATGAAGCGGGCTTTGCGCGGCCGGTCCCGGATGCGTGGCTTGCGCAGGTTCTCGGCAGCGATCCGTGCCAGCACATACTCCTCAGGGATGATACTCTTCCGAGCCAACATCTTCCTGCCACCATAGTCCACCTAGCGAGATGCAGAATGCGGGACGCTCCCTGCGGTGTGCCTCCGTGGAGCTCACTGCCTCCCCTGAGAAAAGAGAAAATCGGTCAGATGCGGCAGAGAGGTGCCACAGCAAGAAGCTCTGCTTAGGTAGTCCCACATCAGCAGCTTTCACACTGAATGTGACAAGTGGCTTTACTCCACAGCACCCTCCCCACGCCAGCCCATCCTCTTGGTGTGAGCGACGGGTGCCAGCTTCGAAAGAACACCGGGGATGCTATCTACACTCCCTGCATAAGGCAGGCTGCAGGGCCCTCCCGCAAACTCGCCCTAAAGTAACGCGACGTACAACAGGTCAGGTCCTCGGCTCTCCAGGAGATACCCGGGTGTGTCCGCAGCACGGACACTCGGTCACTCGCATCCTTCGGGGCGTGAAGAATCAGACCTCTCCGCTCTGAACCGAGGCCGGCCCGCGGAGATCCTTCCCGGCCGCACAGCCTCCGTCCCGTCCCCCGGCACCATCGCAGGGAGCCGAGCCGCGAGCTGGAGGCAGGACCGCGCCGAGCGGGCGTTCCCGTTCCCGTTTCCCCCTCGGCCCTCCTTCCTTTCCGGGATGAGGCGGGGCGGCCTCGCTTTTATCCCCAGCCGTGTCCCCAGACGGCTGCCGGAGCGCGGCGGCGCTAAGCGGGGCTGTCGGCAGCCCTCCGGGAACTGGCAGGAGCTCCGGACGCCTGCCCCGCGGCTCCAGAGTGGGGCCGGGCCGGCGGGGTGTGGGTGTCCCGACTGTCTCCGGGCAGAGCCCGTCTCTGGCTGCGCTCTGTAAGCCCGGAGCTTCTCTTTCCCAGTTTTATCGCAGCTCAGGTCTCAGCTCGCAGGGTGGGGAGCGTAAGCGGTTGGAGGAGCGGGGTCGGAGCCTGACGACCTTCCCCCGACAAACGCAGTTACCTGTTGCGGCAGGAGGAAAAGAGGCATTCCTTTGTACGGCGCGCAGGTCGCATTGACTCGGATGGGCGCTGCGTCGGGCCGCTCTAATCCTCAGCCGCTGTAAGGGGAGTTGATGGATGGGTATTTATATAAGCAAAATTAGTGCAGCGTCAAAAACGACTCGCAGAGGTTCACTCGTGTTCCCGCAGGTCGAAGTTTATGGTTTTGGCACTGGTGTTTAATGGAAACTTGCATTCTTGGAAATCACAGCTTTTCTTTTTTTTTTCTTTTTTCTTGCTTTTCTTTATCTTTATCTTTTCTTTCTTTCTTTCTTTCTTTCTTTCTTTAAATTCTTTTTAATTTTTCACCCCTGAGGTCTTAAAGTTCGTAGCAGGAAGAATAAACATGATTTCAGCTTTGCAAAAAGGTCTAAATTTAGATCTCAGTATAGCAAAGCGCAGAGATATTGTGTTGGCTTAACTCCTCCACGCCCAAGGAATGCCTGCCTGCATCATGTGTGTGTGTACGCTTGTGCAGTATGAGAAGTTTTCTGTACATTACTTAAGGGGATGACCTACATGGTATAACATTTAGTCACTGTGAGCTCTACTTCAAATAGATGAGCAACTCCTGGATACTTCTTTAGCACTATCCTTTCATAACACCAGCCACGCAGAATTAAGAAAACACTCAGAGCCCCAGTCCTGTTAGGCAATTAGCTGCACATCCAGGTTAGATATCAGCTTCAGACAGATGACAGCTCCCACGTGAAAAGTCAGATCTAGAACAATTGCTTAGGGTGATAACCAGGCTTACATGTCAGCACACTGAGCTGGGTGAGTTTCAGCACACAGACTTGGGTGGCTGTCTGTGGATTGGTGCTGGTGGTGGCTGTGGCACATGGTGGTCCAGGCTGGGCAAGCTGGGACTGTACCTGCTGCATGTGGAGAGGCAGAGGCTGGACATAAGTTCTGACTTGGTTGTTGGGTGCAGCCTCCAGAAGTGCATCTTGCTTGGTGTAACTGTTGGAAAAGGCTGTTTCAATATACCTGCACTGAAAGGGACTCAGCCTCTGCTCTTCCACCTTCAACCAGCTTCAAGGAAGCCTGCTGGGCAGTGGCCACTGGGACGTGAAGGCCAGGAAGACTGTCAGCAAGAACGTTTCCCTCTTCCTAGTTCAATAATATGCAACATGATTTTGAGCACAACACATGCTTCCCCAGACTACAGTGCACAAATATGCTCCGGAGAGTGACAGCTACCGAAAATGTTCCCCTTTGCCCTTTTGAATACTTGCTTGGTTGCTACATGCACATGAAAGTCTGAGAGTTCAGTAATAGCTGGGAAAATCTTCTGAAACCTTTTCTGGCCCTTCTGGTTAGGAACACAGTGTCTGAGTGCTGTGAACACAGCCTGCTAAGGGAACAAATGGTCAGAATTGCTTGCAGGTTTGGGTTCAGATGTACTAGGGTCCATCATGCTTCTCCATTCCTGCTGTTTCATTTGTCCTCCACCCACATGAGTTACTGGTATGATAGCAAATATCACTTCAGAATTATGCCTATCAAAAAAGGATTAAGTAAAGTGCTCAGACATGAATCTGAAATTTCCACATTATAGCTGTGCCCAGCCCTTTGAGAAAATCCTGCTTTGTAATAGGTTCTGTTTGAAATTCTAGTCTTAGCTTAGAGATAGGATGGCTCTGCAGGCGTCCAAAGATGTCAAGCACTCAGCACGAGGTTTCCACAAAGACATAAAGCTGATAAGCCATATTCGGACAGTGTGGATGAACTCTTCTCCAGCTGAACTGGCAGTAGATCCATCAAACATGAAAGAGCAGAAACTGCAAACTAAGGGCATCTGTTACCCCAAAACAACTTTTCTTCTTCTTCTTCTTCTTCTTCTTCTTCTTGTTTTATGTAAGAGCAGCAGGACAAAAAAACAGTCTTTATCATCCAAATGCATATAACTCATGCCCCTTGTCCAATATTGCTAAGTTCCATAGTAGAGTCTGCAGATGTCCTGGGGGTTTGCTAGCAGAGAATTCATTTTGCATGAAAACTGTCTGGTTTGGAAATGATATGTGTTGATGAGATCTCAGCCTCTTCTTGGAGAAATAGTCATTCCTTTTGGCTTCCTCTGTCGCTGTAGTGGTCCTCCTCCAGGGAGATTTGGGACAAGACATTATGGAACATGTGACAACACATGCATCCTCCTGCACTGAGCAAACTGGGGCCAAGCCTGCTCACATAAGAACGCGTTCTGAGGGGGGCAGCAGTTCTCCAGCCAAACATGCTCAGAGCTGGTCTCTTCTGTTTCCTTTTCCTGCTTGCAACACAAATCTGTAGCCCCTTGCTCCCTGGCCACTGCTAGAAATGCTGCCCTCCTTTGTGAGCTCTCCTGGAGCTGCAGGGGATCAGCATTCCAGCCACCAGCACGTATCCACGAGGGAGGACATGGCCTTAGAGCAACGCTTTTTAACTCCATGGTATGGGAGAGCAGCCCATGAAGCCTTTGGGCTAGGGCTCCTGCAGAGTTGGCACAGAGGAGGGAAAGGAGAGAAAAGGTTATCACATCCAAACTGCATCATCCCTACAGTGACCTGATTTATGAAATCCAACATCTTTTAGCCTCTGCTTTCCTCACTCCACCTCTGCTCGGGGGACGTGGCTGAGCCAAGGAAGGGGTAGTTGAAAGAAATGCCTTATGCTCCCAAAGTCCTAGCCTCATTCCCTCTGGAGATGACCACATCACATTACATCTGTGTGCAAAACCCACTAAGACTTCTCTCAGCTCCATATTACTTATCCATCTCCCTGTCTTTGTCTGTAATTGTAGCTGTGTGTTTGTTTCTTTCCAAATCTCTAGTTTATAGAGAAACCCAAAGGCTATGCGTTGTTGAGTCTCAGTTTTGCAGAGACTAAGCATGTTACAACACCAGCATTTCAGGGACAGTAGTGTCTTTTTTACCCGAGCCAGACCTTAGGTCATGGTATCCTTGCCTGGCAGAGCTAGGAAATCATCTCATTTTTCAACTCACAGCAGGAATTGGCTCCCACATCTCTCAGTTCAAGCTGTTAGATGCAGGTACTGAAATACTGTACTGTCACATCTGGGACTAACACGTCAGTCTCTTACTACGTGGTGAGTGGGACAGATTGTATGTAGGACTATAGAATCATAGAATCACAGTATGGTTTGGGTGGAAGGGACCTTAAAGCCTCTCACAGTTCCAACCCTGTGCTGCAGGCAGGGCTGCCACCCATTAGATCAGGCTGCCCAGGGCATCATCCAACTTGGCCCTAAATGCCTCAGTGGATGGGGTATCCTCAGCTTTTCTGGGTAGCCTGTGCCACTGCCTCACTGCCCTCTGAATAAAGAATTTCCTCCCAACATCTAATCTAAATCTCCCTCCTTGTTTAAAACCACCGCCTCCCCTTGTCCTATCGTTATCTACCTTGTAAAAAGTTGTTCTCCTGAATGCCCCAGGCATGGTTCAGAGGCTGTTTTAAGTCTGCAGAATGGAAAAGGTGTTCTTCTTTTGAGGTTGCTGAGGTTTTAGCTATGTGGTTGCTCTCATGGGTGGACTGTGCCAGGTTTCCTCATGGCAAATAGCCGACTCTGTTCTGGCCTGTTCTACTTCATGGTGTAGTAGAGCCCAAGAGTTGTCTCTAGGGACTGGCAAAGCTGCTTAAGATGGAAGGGTGCCAGATATAACGAAATAACCACTGTGTCATTTCTCTGTGCCAGAATTTTGGAAAACCAGAAACTAGGAGAGTATATGTGCTCATATTGCTTGGGCTGTGACAAATGGTAACTGCCATTTCTTTTCTCCTTTTCCTCTGGTGGTATCTGGAACAACAGAGGCAGGTGTCAAATGGTTTCCATTTGAGCTCCTTGTCCACATTCTGCCCATTCCTCTTGTGTAACAGGAGCCAGCAATCTTCGTCATAATTTGATTTTGTCTCCATAAAATTCCACAGAGCTGTGGAATGTTTTGAATCTCCATCTCTGTGCTCCCGTTCCCTTTGCTTACAAGCAATTGATCCAGCAGCTATCTGATGGCTGCAGTGAGAGTGAAATGGAGACATGCCATTGACAGAAGATAGATGCCATCTCTTGTCTTCAGAATGTATTGCAGAATAACTGGCAACCTTGGGCCCTCTGATCTCATACTGTGGTGGGACCTGGAACAGTAGATGTCCCCAGACCCAAATGATTTGCTCTTAGAAACCTGCAGGACAAAGATTCTCTCAGAACTTCAGGTTCCTGCTTCTGTCAGAGGGCTCTAACAGCCATAGCTGGCATTGCTGAAAGGGCAAGGGCCTAATCCAGCCTGTGTGATAAAGGCACTGATAGCTATCAGCCATGAATCTGTAACTTTCTGCGTGTCAAAGCATGCACAGTTTTGGGGCATCTGTAACTGTGATGCTGAAGGATGGTGGTTCTGGACCATGTCATTTACACTGAGCTGCATTAGTTCCTTAGTTACACGGTTAAATATTTTACTGGATGTTTAAGTGGTATTTATGGATGTAAGCTGGTACAGCCAGCAAAGCCTGAAGTAAAATAAGGGGAGAGGTAAGAAACGTCATGGGAATAGCTGAGAGACAGTCTTATGGGCAGTACTAGCTGGTACTGTTTGATACTTATTTATACCTCTTATCCCATGGACGTACAACTATGTATTTTTGTATAAAAATGACTAATATGCATACAGGGGAATGAATGCACTAGGCAGTGAAATGTGCCTATGTGATATGCCTGTTATGGTAGCATCTGAGCTGAATGCTGCATTGTTATAAGCAATTCATAGGATGGAAATCTCTATGTGCAGTGAAAATCAAAGAAGACGTAGCACGGGGTGAATGTCAATGCAGCAAATAGAAACAAATTTTTGTTAACAAAACGGGTCTTTTTTACTGTTTCCTTATATCTGATCAGAATGTGGCTTATCTAGAGGAGTGAAAATCACTAGCTAAGAATGTCTGTTGTCTTTCCGTGGGTAGCGTCTAACACCAGACAGATGGAATCAACAGTGAGTAATTAATAGTAACTGTGTACTAAATTGATTAAAACTTTTTAAAAAATCTCTTCTCTTGAAGGATTACATTTGGAAGCTTCTCCAAACTCCACAGCTTCACAGAAGCCAATACTCAAATCTGTCCTGCCAAAACAGCGTCAGCACATCACTAATTTGTAGGAGTTGGAGAACTTCTGCCTCACAACAATTTGTTGATAATTTGAAAACCTGATAATCTTTCCCCGCAATTTTACACAGAGGTCGGTTCTGGTGGAGAAAAAACAGAGCAGTAAAAAAACAGTGTGGAAATGATTGGGATGTTTGCATGGCAATGAAGAATTTGATTTACGGTTTTGTTTTCAGACTTTTTTTCTTATGCCTCTGAATGATTTATTTCCAAAGAAGCTGAAATGCTCCTCACGTGCCACCACCATGAGTTCATGTCGGGGAGTTTATAAAACTTATTGGGACTTAAAATAAGGCTTGAAAAAGACACTGCTTGATGATATTATTAAGCCAATCTGGCAAATTCATTTTTGCTTTTTAACACATTTTATAGGGGAATCATTGCTCTAGAGAAGTTTTAACAAGTAGCCGTGTGGTTTCACTATATATTTTAGAACTGATTTCTACTGGCACTATTACATTATGGATGTCAGGCTGCAGTGCTTACAAGTACAACATGCACCAGCTTTCGCTGCTTGATAGTCACATTGAAAAATTTCATTTCCTGATAATAAAAATAGTCTTTATCCACCATATTTTAAATAAAAGTAGCTTTTGCCTGAAATAAATTATATTGCACTTTGTGATAAAATGCCTGTAGCTTGTGTAAAATGTGTGTGATGCCATCTTCATCTTCTCGTGACACATGAGCAGCATCATATTTGAGTGCATCAGCATCTTTTTACAGTAAAGCCCTTTGCTTTAGAAAGCAAAAAGAAAAGAATTAAATCAGACACACATTGTATGAGAAGTCTGAAGAGACTTGCTTGACTGTATTCAAAATTGATGTCATCTGTTGTTTCAGAAAACAAACATAAGTCACTACTATTATTTTTGCTGGCATTGTTTGTACATGTAATGAGATGCCAGATCAGCTGGGTGATATTTGCTGTTTGTACAGATTGAGTTTCATGGAGGTGTGCTAAATTATAGCAGAGGTGTTCTGGCAGTTCACAGGAAAACAGACGTGGCTATTCTAAATGCCTGAGGAGCCTTTGATAATACATTCTTTCACAAGCTGATATTAAATGATAGCTGGAAAAAGGAGACAAGCTCTTGGAAATGAAGGTCTGCAATGAATTTGCAACTTGAGGTACCTCCTCTGCATACCAATTTTCCTAACGAAGCAATGATTTCTCTCTTCAGACTTTGTCTTGCTTACATCCCTGGCTTATCAGAGCTGTCCCAAACTTTGCTGAGGCTGTCTGCCTCACAGGAAATGCCATGGATCAGTGCTTCCTCTGTGGTCTCTGCATGGCTAGAAACCTCACACAGTTATCCTATTTGATAACTGCATTGTTTGAAATGTCAAGTCCAAATAATTATAATGCTCCCCAAATTCTTGAATCATAAATAGCAATTAGCAGATCACAAGGGCTTAGACTTATGGACATTCTCAGGCTGCAAAACCTGAAAAAAACCCTAGGAAATTGGTTCTCCTTAGATGAATCCCAGAAGCCACTGTGCTGGATCTTGAGCAGGCAGAAGCTTCTCTTTCCTCACTGTCAGCAGTGTTGACAGCAGAGTCTTATGTTCCTGCTTCAAACACAGCTTAAAATCCCTATGATTGGATTCACAGCACATTAGCACTTTGGCTCAGTAGTAGACACAGTGGTTATATGGGGCATTTCTGGAGTAAGAGAAGCAGCAATAAGCAGCTAGCTGTTACTGCTGTGATGAAAGGCCACATACAAGAAGGCTACAGAGCCATTCATGACACTTTTTTCCAGTGGTGGGAAACACAGAGAAGTGGAAGTTCAGCCTATGGCCTTTGTGAGTATATGACATGCACACAGGGGCTATAATGCAAAGAGATCTCTTAGGCCTATGACAATTTGCTTGGTTTTTTTTGTGTCTCTTGGAACCTGTCTATGCTGAACAGGATTAATTGCTTGAGGAACTAAGCTGTGCCTTTAAACCTGTTAGGGATATTATGCTCCAATAATTGGCAAACTCTTTGACCACAAACAGTACTCCTGCATTCCTCCAGCAAAATGACTGAGGCACGCTCAGCCCATAATTCATTTTCTTTTCTATGTACTGAAATAGCAGTGTTTGATAAGCTCCATACCTCTGGAGGGATGAATGAGCAAAGGAGGGGATTCTCACCTCTGTGCTGCCTTTGGAACAAATGTAAGAGGAAAGAGGAATTAATATGGGGGCCCTTTTAAGTTATTTAGGATTTCTGAAACGATTCCAGCCCCTCAAAGCCACTTAATATAGTGTAAAATAGCATTTCATTGAACTGATTAGTACCATTTGAAATAAATCAGGACTGCATCATCATCAAAGTTATGCAGATAAACAAAGTTATTTCTACTTCACACTGACCGAAACTGACTACAATGAATCCAATTAATTTTTCCCCGAAGACAATGAAATTAAATCAAGATTGATGCTGGCTGCTTTGCTCCGAAATCTGCGTAACAGCGTGCTTTTCCACTGTAAACATCTGCTTTATTTTTTTATTTTCTTTGTAAGACAGAGTTCAACACAGGATATTAATGGAGAGAAGAGCAATAACTTCTCACAGCAGTTCTTAGGGAAATCACAAAGTACTTTCCCTATTAAAATGTTCCAAGCTGAGTTTTGTGTTTAGTCGTATCATGAAGATTTTATTTTGAACAAGATGAAAAAAACAGATAAACCATTGTATCATCAGACTAAATGCAGTCTGAATTTCAAGTCTTACTTTTCTTTTGCCAGGTATTGTTTCATATTGTTTTCATTACACTAACAATAAGTTTAAGTGCACTTCATGTTCATTCTAAACCTCATAAAAATAGACAAATAAGATCACATTGAATATTACGATTGAAGTGAGCATTTCAGACTCCGCCTTTGAGAAAATGTCTGTGAAACTCCTAGGGATTTATTGTCCACTGGGCAATTATCATGATTCAGAATTTAGCCCTATGCATTAGCCAAGTGTGGGCAATCTTATCAAAGCTGTATGAGGTAAATACGAATATAAGTGACCTAAAATCTTGAAAATGCAGAATTCATTTGATAATTGTTCCAACATAAAAAAATAATTTGAAGGGCTTAAGACATATAAAGCAATTAGTGGTTGGCTGATTACACGCCATTTTAAGTAGAATATTTTAGTGGAAATTTTTAAAAAGATTGATTAATATCAACTTTATACATTCAGATTAATTTCAATAAAAAGTCGTACAAAATGTATTCCTCTATGAGCCTATCAAAGCATGCAGAATTCCAAGATGATTTGTGTCCTTGGTTCAAAGAATTCTGTAGAACAAATATGGATGTAGGAACTGACTGTAGGGATAAGTTATCATTGCATAGAAAATGCAATACCGTGCCAACTATAGTGTGTGAACTAATGTGAAGGGCAGGAAGAATTTCCTTACTTCTGATGAATTTCCTTTCTCTCATTCACTGCTCATCCCCTACAACTTGAAGAGCAAAGTTTATGCCTTTGGAATGCAGCAGATTGCCCCAAGAGTTATGGGCTTAGATTTGTTGTCTTTTAACTTTCCCCCCCTGGGAATAGCATTCTTCTGGGGGTCTCTTGCTTCCTTGACAAACGGCACGATTTTATTCTTGGTTCCAGAATAACATATGCAGCTTGTAAGAGCACTGCATTTTCTTTTGCTCTCTACAAAAGAAAATAAAGTCACAGAGTCTATTAAAATGCCAGATTTCCAGGAAATCAAGACGTCTGCCTGTGTGTGTGTGTGCGTGCGTGTGAGCATGAAATTTAATGGCTTGAATTAAGTGACATTTTTATTGCTTTGAGAAATACATGCATTGCAATGGGATTTATTATTTTGGGAGACGGAATTGTGAATAAAGAAGAAGCTCTGAAAAAAAAAAGCTGAAAGTGATGTTACACTGAATTTAAAAATATGCATTTCATCTGTTTAAAAATAAGCTTTTAAAACACATCATGTGGTTCTTCACATGTCAGCCCGGACAAATGAAGCAAAGATGCCGTCCTCTTGAGAAAGCAGGTTCTCAGGCGTATCATATTCTAAAATGTTCCCTCGCTTCATGACAATGACCAGGTCTGCCGTTAGGATAGTGTGGACCCGATGCTGCCATAAAGAAAAGCATACAGAAGTTTTAATTATGATAATTCTCACTGCAGTTCATTAATGGGCTTAATCCAGGGTGTATGAAGTCGATAAAAGGCTTTCTTTGTTTACAGCGGTATTTGGAGTAGGTCCTTGTACTATATCTTTAATCTGAAGCCATCTCAAATTACTTCACAGCTTCTGGCACCTGGCCTGAAAACACTTACGCACATGCACATGCTTCATCTTTACTCAGCTAATTGCTATTATGGACAAGACAGCTGTTGGAAGAGATCCTCCAGCATCACTGAAATATATTTTCCCCTTAAGGAAATACAGGCGAGAAACATCCTGGGTATGCCTGCACTGTCAGGTGGCGTGGCATCCTGCTCCACTCCTTGGTTGCGTACCCTGCCTGCCCATACTGCATGCATATTAGAACACCCCTAGGTTGTTTACTTCTGCAGATCAGTTAGCTCCCCCCAGTATTAAATTGGTGCTTGCTGCAGGGAATAGGTTGGTCCTATAGGTAAGAGGAGGTAGAGTTTGATTTCAGTGCAATGCAAATGTCATAGAATCATGAAATCATTGAATATCTTGAGTTGGAAGGTATTCATAGGGATCAAGTCTAACACCTCGCTCCACAAAGGACCACCCAAAATTCAACTCTCCTAGCACAGACTTACAAGACTGATGACAGCAAGTTAGGGCACAAGCAGGCCAGAAATCAAAGAATAGTTTTCTAAAATCCACATTAAGATATGGCAATTGGGGATGATATGAAGGCCTACTCATGGTCATAAATCTTAAAGAGAACCGGTTGCAAGATGCAGTGATTCGGTAGAGGAATGTATTACTAAGATGTGGCCAGTCAGGTACAGATAGGACTAGTTCTAGAAGTAAGACATTGCACTGAAGAGGCAGAAATTTAGGAATAAATTTAAGGAATGGATTTGTTTAGCATTATAGATTCAATGTTAGTTGCATGTCCAGGCTCTTGTTAAATGTAATTCATGTAAATAGTAAAGAAATAAAACAAATCCAGAAGTTGCACAATAAAAATGTTCTTACACTGTCATCTCAGAAGCTGTGCAGTAGAAAGGAAGCAGAATGAAAGGAAACTAAAGAGGTAAAAATAACTACCAAATAGTCAGAAGTCTTGTGAACAGTGTGGACTGAGAGAGTCTACTTGTGAGTCTTCACCAAAGTGGTGAACAGGCCGTCCTCCTTGAGGAGTAAGTTTGAGGCAGTGTCACATTCAACTAGAAAACCATCAGAAAGGACTAGGACAATATTGGCGTCCAAGATGTGAGATACACGATGCTGGAAAAAAGAAAAGAAAAACAGGTGGGTGAAGGAAGGAGCAGCCACGAGTGAAGAGCGGAAGGAAATAAAGTCAGTTGTGCAAGGAAAGCTAAATATTAATATGTGCCAGCTTGCTTGAGACGTCAAGTTTGGAAAGGCAAAGGAAAGGTGAAGTGAAATTCCAGTGAGAATGACAATACTGAATGTCTGAATGGCATTTAACTGGAAAGGAATAGGCTTACTGTTAGCATGTTCAGCATTTACATATCTAAGAATCTTACAGCCTGTTGTAAATGAGCCTGGGTTAAGTCATTCATTTACACAAACTAGTCACTGACAGTCTTGAAACCAGACTCCAGGAGACATAACTCTAATCTCTAACCACAAGACTGGATTCCAGACAAAGCAAATGAAACAGCTGTTGAAACACATATTTATCTCTCTTTTAAAGCGACTTTCAATAATTGTTTAGCCCATGGCTTTGGTTTCAATTTGTTAATGAGAATAAATTTTCTTGGAGGCAATGCAGATCTGAAGTTTCCCATAAAGTCTTTTATATCTCAGTGCTTTCGTTTGGCCCACCTGCAAGATATCACTCAGTACAAAATTTCAGGTTGACAGTATGTGTCTTATCCTGTTGCAACATCTGGGAATATTCTGACTTTGGGTTTTAGTTTTACCTTGCTTTCATAGTGATGTTTAGCTGGTTAAAGTCAAGAATATCTGCTTGAGAAATAAGAAGAGAACATCTGCTAGCATTACTACTTACCGCTATTGTTACAACTGTGCGGTCTGCAAAGGCAGTCATCACGACCTTCTGCAAAATATTTTCCTACAAAACAAAAGGCTTACCTCAGTTATTTCATCCTCCTATATTTTACTTTGTTATGTGCCTTCAAATATCAAAAAGACAGACTCATATTCCACACCACCTTTCATTTGTGAACCAGAATCCCAGCAATGAAATGCTGCACAGGTAAAAGCAGACTCTCTAAAATATTACTTATATTCCTTTTATCTCTCACAGTAATAATCAAACCCCAAACGCATCAACAGAAACAAGTGAAACTAAACACATGGCGAACTGACAGTTTTCTCTGCTAAATAGATCTCATGGCTGACTTCTGGGTAAGATGATGCCTCTTCTCCCAAGTATATCCATGTGGCAATGGAGCACATTGCTATACTCACTGTGGCCATGTCTATAGATGCTGTGGCTTCATCCATGATAAGAATGCTGCTCTTGCGAACAAAGGCTCGGGCCAGGCAAAAGAGCTGTCTTTGTCCTACACTGAAGTTCTCTCCTCCTTCTGTTACCATTGCATCTATAATAAAAACCAATCAGTAAAATCAGAACACAGTGATTTTTGAGAGGGCACCATGAAAACTCTGTGCACTATTCCAGTGTGAAGCAAAATCCCTGAAAAAGCCAATATAGTTAAGCAAATGACCCAAATAGTTAAATCTGGTAGGATACAAGATAATATCTTAGTAATGTCATACACGCCTTATGGAAGGAAATAGACGAGCTTTCTTCATGAACCAGATCTCAAATGAAAAGGAAAATGCTTTGTCTGTGTTCAAGATAAAAGCTACAACTCTGCTGGCCAAGCAATATTCTGCTGAAGGAGCCAAAGAAGAAAGTCTTTTTTAAAACTCTTTTCTGATGAGTCACACATCTATAATGTTGAGGTGCCACAGGCTTTTTCTGCAATGAATGGAAAACCAGACTCTTGTTCAGATTTTCAGTAAGGTTATTTGCTCTGGCATAGAGACAGAATATTCATGAGATACCTGTCAACTGCTACATGATGGTTCAGAGTATAAGATCCCATGTAGCTATTTATATGTGTACACATTTATGCATGTATAATGCCATTATTGATATATATTATATATTCCTAGTGACTTGGACATACCAAGGCCTCCTGGCAATGATTTGACCATGTTCTTTAGCTGAGCAATCTCCAGAGCTTCCCAGAGTCTATCATCGGTGCACTTGCATTCTGGATCCAAATTGAAGCTGCAAAGAAAAACAAAATAGGGGTCTTGTCACTACAGTTACAATTCATGAAGGTCTTCTGCAAAAGAACAAAGTGGAACTGTGTACTTCACTTAATTCCCCATGGACTGTGGCTAGTTTGTGGTGATCTAGGAAGGTTTCTTCCCTTTTCCATCCCTTCCTGCCCACATCACCCATCACAAAAACACTGCTGCTCTTTTTGCATGCACCCACCGGATGGAACCACTGAACAGTATCGGATCCTGGAGGATAATGGAGAGTCGGGAACGGAGAGTGTGAAGAGGCAATTTGCTGATGTCTATTCCGTCAATCACTATCCTCCCTGTTTAAAACAACGAGCAGAGGGCACATGAGGGAATTGCATAATCAGATAGCAGGCAGAAAGATAAAGCAAATACTTTGGCTGGGCTCCAGGTGATGAGACAGCATGCCCCTGCATTCTCTCAGTGTCGTTAAACAAACATGGAGAAGGTGAATGCATGTAGAAACACAACCCAGAGGGAATCCAACCTTTTGGTGACATTGCTGCCTTTCCATATTTCTT